AGCCCTAATCTAGCTTTACGCGAATATCCAAAAATAAACAAGAGTTTTTACTGAGGTTAGACAATCATTGTATGATAAAATACATTTATTACGGGCCAGCATTTCTACACTAAATTTAGTTTCTCTGAATAGAAAAAGTCTGTCAACTAAACATTTAAGTATTTAATAGCTATGTTTTTCAGTCCTTCTGACACACTTGTGATTAGTATGTAGATATATTTTGCTTTATTCAGACAAGTTGGAGTTACGGAGATGGTATTTAGTATATGAAAATAGAGTGAACGCGAGTGTACTTAAAAAGAAATCTGGAAAAGATTAATTTTTACGTTAGTGTTTGAAGAACAATCCCATGTGTTACAAGAAATAAAGTTTTGATTTACCTCAGTCTTAATCAAATTATTTTAAATTAAAGGACCTATCAAATAATGAACATTTTCTGGCTTATTTTGCAGTTATTGTTAGGCCTATTGATAATAATTGGTAATTCGTGAGGCCTATTTGATAATAATTGGTAATTTGTGAGGCCTAGTTGACAATAACTGTAACTTTTGTGGCCTATTTGATAACAATTGGTAATTTTTGAAGCCTATTAGATACTAATTAATAATTTGTGAGGCCTATTTGATAATAATTAGTAATTTGTGAAGTCTATTTGTTTATAATGAGTAACTTATGAAAATAAGATGTTGGTATATGGCACTCTTCAAAGCAAGAATCTTCTATTCTTTGATATCCTTATTCGAATGAAACAAAATGTGTTTTGACTGATATAAAAGAGATATGCTAAAGATTATTGGCTACTGAAATACTTATTATCTGTTCCGCATACAAAATAAACAACGTAATAAAAATACAATAATAACTGCCTTTTGGAATGTAACTTTTACTTAATGATGATCCAATACTACTGTTTGAAACGTTGTAATTATTAAAATCAGAACGTGCTTACTGTAAAAGTTGCTGTTATTGTATTTTTGAATTAATTATTCATTTCAGTAGGTTCCTCGCTAAACAATAAGATTACTTGAACTGATTAAAATTAGTATTCATTTATATATATCACTTGGATTATTTCTAAAATACACTGACATAAAACATTCTAAACAAAGAACTGAGTGTAACTTATCGAATCTTCAAGGTAGTTTTATACAAGCTAAAAATCAGGAAAAACAAACCAAACAAACAAACAACAAGACAAGCGCAAGCAACATTTACCTTTAACTCTGATTTCTTGTATAGATTAATGGAAAATAGCATTACCAAAACAACTTTATACAGACAAACAACTTACATGGAACGTGTTACATTTATCCAACATGCAAGTCAAGATTGATAATCGGTTAGTCCTAATTTGATTTATTATGAAGAAGGCCTAAATAACAATTAAGATAAAGGTTACCATATTTTCCTGACAGTTTGATACATGCTGTAGCAGGAAATAGACCGTTTCTGTGTTTCCTTCCAGTCCAGCATGGTGATTCTAGAATATCTATGGTGTAGTTATTATGGAAAGGATCCTCGCATGCTGGATTATCTCCGTCAATTGAGACACACTTGAAACAATCCAGGCCCCACGTAACTATAAAAAGAGATAAATAAACAGATGTGTAAAAATATGTCTCTCGGGTTGCTTTACTGAAACCTCTTTAGTGTGCACTGCCTGGATAACAGCCAGGATAAAGATAAAATGACTTAAGTCTAAATGTGGTATTCTCATTTGTGGAAACATCACCTTAACGGTCCATACTGGAAGCTCGCAAATCCAGAATGTAAATCACACCCAGTATTTGAAAAATTCATAACTTTATTAACTTGTTGTACTTATAATGCCACACATTACCACTATAAAACAGGTGAGTTTACAATAAAGTATTAGTCATTTACACATTGGTGTGTTTATTTACGTATCGTTTTAGCGCACGCGCTCTTTGGATATCTAATTACACGAACGAAGTATTCTTAACTGAGGATAAAATACAATATTATTTTGAAACTGTCTGGTATGTGAGAATCAAGAACACCAAAAATAATCGTTCATATATCTGCAAAGTCTAAAAAAAATGGCTGGCTTGATGAGCAAAGTAATTCTAGTTTAGTCGCTGGAAAATATAAACATAAAATCCAAAATATAGCTTATGTTGATGAGATTTAGGCCTAAATAACCAAGCAGCTTTAGTATCAAGTTATTCAAAGTCTGTTATAAACAATTTATAAAATAAAATTATTTTGAGTAAATAAAGTTAGCAATTGCCATGTAAACGTAGATCATTAAACATAATTACTTTGTCTATATATCCACGCCCCCCAGTGGCACAGCGGTATGTCTACGGACTTACAACGCTAGAAACCGGGTTTCGATACTCGTGGTGGGCAGAGCACAGATAGCCCTTGTGTAGCTTTGTGCATAATTAAAAACAAACAAATAATCTATATATCCACAAGTACGAACAACGTGTAAAAGTTTACTAAAGTTTCGTAAGCTGTTTCATGAATTAAAATAAATATATTATAAATAGCTGATATTACATTATATTGTTTAATTGTTTGCTTAGATGTATAGGGAAAAGCTTTACAAGGCCTATCACCTCGTAGTCGTCCCTAATATGTACTACTCTTGGACTACACTTGTTTGGCCGAATAGTGGGATTTGACCAGCATTCTTATAGCCTACTCACGATCCCAAAATACGTAGATAGTTTTTCGGTTTACGGGACTCAAACCATGGGCATTAAGTTCACAGTTAGAACCGCTAGGCTACGTTAGACACTTTAAAAAATAAGCAACTATACAACTATGTAAGTTTAAAGTTTAGTTGTTTTTGTTGGTAAGCTTAAGGTTGTAGTGTTTACTTATTTTTCATACTAAGTGGAAATTGCTACAAATGTCTTTTGTGCGTTAACATAGGCGACGGATTCTGGTAGCAAGGTTGCAGCTGGCAAGCTAATAGATATGGAATGGTCCTTAATGACACTCCTCTTTAACACAGTGGTCATATGGCTTAATACTTTCTATTGAGGATAACGCCACTGATGTTTTGTGAGTTGAACACTTGCTATAGGAAATAACTTTTTGATACTTTGTAAGTTCAGCACTTCTTATTGAAAGGAACTCTCTGATACTTTGTAAGTTCAACACTTCCTGTCAGTATAACTCTTTGATACTTTGTAAGTTCAGCACTTCCTGTCAGGATAACTCTTTGATACTTTGTAAGTTAGCACTTACTGCCAGGATAACTTCTTGATATTTTGTAAGTTTAACAATTCCTGTAAGATAACTCCTTGATATGTTGTAAGTTCAGCAATTCCTATTGGAAATAACTCTATGATAGCTTGTGAGATAAACATTTCCCTATTGGAGAAAACATCTTGATAGCTTGTGAGTTAAACATTTCCCTATTGGAGATAGCATCTTGATATCTTGTGAGTTAAACATTTCCCTATTGGAGATAGCATCTTGATAGTTTGTTAAGTTCAACATTTCCCTATTGGAGATAGCATCTTGATAGTTTGTTAAGTTCAACATTTCCATATTGGAGATAGCATCTTGATAGTTTGTTAAGTTCAACATTTCCCTATTGGAGATAGCATCTTGATAGTTTGTTAAGTTCAACATTTCCATATTGGAGATAGCATCTTGATAGTTTGTTAAGTTCAACATTTCCATATTGGAGATAGCATCTTGATAGTTTGTTAAGTTCAACATTTCCCTATTGGAGATAGCATCTTGATAGTTTGTTAACTTCAACATTTCTTATTTACTTACTATGTAAATTAAACTTCATTCCCTTAGGAACTTTACTCCGCAGCAGATACCTCATTTTATTAGATTATTTCTGCTTTTTTTAGCTTAATGTTTTAGAATTATCGATCATAAGAAAGAGTAGTTCTCTTTATCAGTAAGACAGTTAGAAGCACATCTTTAATGAAATATTGCATTCGGTAGGAGTAAGATAACGTTCGCTTTCTTCAACAGATGTAACATTGAGGCGTTAGATGTCAAAACCCTTCGGTATCACGGATTAGAAATACGTAGTTTTAAAGCAATACCTACGTCTATTCATCTAATACTTACTGTGACTACAGTTTGTTACATGTTACACGGTGTTTTTAATTAAAACGTTTATGTTGCTTTGTTTTGTGTATTACACTAATTCTTCTATTTTTGTCACGACTTGATTTTATGGTTTGGTTTGTTTAGAATTTTGCGCAAAGCTACACGAGGGCTATCTGCGCTAGCTGTCCCTAATTTAACAGTGAAAGACTAGAGGGAAGGCAGCTAGTCATCACCACCCACCGCTACTTCAGCTACTCTTTTACAACGAATATTGGGATTGATCGTAACTTTATAACGCTCCCACGGCTGAAAGGTCGAACATGTTTGGTGGGAAGGAGATTCAAACCTGCGACCCTCAGATTTCAAGTCAAGCGTCCTAACCACCTGGCTATGCCTGATTTTATAGACGCTTTGATCATAGTGTTCCTATCTATGAGAGAATAATCTATGGAACAACTCGTTGTTCGGGAATTCTTACAAGGATTTAGTCTCCCGGTGGGATAGCAGTAAGTCTACGCTCAAATCTAGAGTTCGATGCCCCAAGGTGGACACAGCAAAGAGCCCAATGTGGATGTGTTCTAAAACAAACAAACTTGTAAGAATTTAAAGTTATTTGTCTTTTTGAAAATATTTATAAACATTATTACTTTATGAAGAGCGTCTGTTGTACCCACCACAGAGAATCAAGCCATGAATTTGGGCGTTGTAAGTCCGTTGTTAAACGTTAAAATAAGAAGCAGATGTAACTTGATTATAGAATACAGTTTAAAACAGGGAAGGCATTTATCGAAGTCGTAACAAAATTTTGAAAGCCATTTGATCTGTCATTGCAAAATAACGTAGTACAAATGCAGATTTTTACAGCATTGAAATATCTAGAAGCAAGAAGACTGTACTGGGTTTGTAAAAACAATTAACTTAATATTGCAGGATGTAAAGGGAAGTTGCCACTGGCATGATAGATAATAAAACGTCACTCTAAAAATGAGCCATGTAGCATCTGTCAAGCATTTTTTACATTTTAATTTTTAAGAAAACTTATAGTTCCTAAAAATAGGTCCATATGTATCGATTGGAAGCCTTAGGATAAAAAAAACTCTCATTAACAAACAGAAAGAGCAAAATTAACACTCCAATGTGCTAGAACCAAACACCGATGGACAAATTAACACTTGAATGTGCCAGAACCAAAAACTAATGGACAAATTAACACTTCAATGTAACATTACTAAACACTGATGAACAAATGAACTCTTCAATGTGCCAGGACCAATCACCGATGGAAAAAATTAACATTTTAATGCTCCATAACTAAACACTGATGGAGAAATTAACACTTCAATGTAACATGACAAACAAGATAACTCTTGAGCGTTAAGTGTGGGCTTATTCTGCGAGCAATTCCTTTCTGTTGTGAAGCTAACGAATAAGATAATCATTCAGCGCTAAATGTGGTTTTATCCTGTGAGCAATGCTCTTCTGTAATGAAGTTAAAGAAAAAGATAATCGTTCAGCATTAAGTGTGAGTTTATTCTATTAGCACAGAATTTATACAGTTACTACTATGAATAGTATGATCGCGTTAATACTGGTATGCTACTTTCTGATTGGTCAGATAACCCCAATTCACATTGTAAGCTAATAACACCACGTCATTATATCCGTATTTTTTTATCAGTTTTCTAAAAAAATATGTTTTTGAAAGAAGGAACTGACTTGAGAGTATTAAAATAACTAAACTATATTTAGCATGAAGTCATGAGAAATTTAACAGTAAATTTTTAAACTGAGTTCGCGTGAGATCCAGTTCATTGTAATGTTTCCGTGATATATTTCTTGAAAGTCACCCACATAGCCCAGTGTGTGGTGTTGCGTTAAAACAAACAAATATATAGTGAAGCTAACAAACGTATATCATAATTACACTGGTATACTTTATCTCCCGCCTTATGTTGCTAGTGAAAAGTCGTACATCTTAATTTGTGGTAAACAGTTGGGATAAAACCATTCCGACCATCTCAGTCTAGATCCTGCTTTTTATAAATATCCTTATTATAGACCTGCGACTGTAAAATACAGTTACAAATCTGATTCTCAAGGTAAGTTGGCTTATTGTTTTCTGTCAGTAGAGGGCGCTTAAGTAATATATTATCATCAATAAACTGGGACTGAATAATCCATAGAAGAGGAGTAAAACGAATAACGTTAACGTGATATAAAGGACGTGGTAAGAACAGTTCTTTGAAGAATCTCCCGTTTATAAACAAAAGGAAATCTTACATCTTTGAGAGGCCTGGTGGTTAGGGCGACCGACTGCGGGTCACGAGTTCGAATCCTCGTCACACCGATCATGTTCGCCCTTTCACCCGTGGGGGCGTTATAATGTGCGGTCAATCCCCTATTCGTTCGTAAAAGAGTAGCCCAAGAGTTGGCGGTGGGTGGTGATGACTAGCTTTCTTCCCTCTAGTCTTACACTGCTAAATTAGGGACGGCTAGAGCAGATTGCCCTCATGTAGCTTTGCGCGA